TAAATAAATTTATGTGCAACCAACCTCTGCTTTTTTTTATTTATACATTTTTTACCAATTTTACATGGAAAATTCCGTCTGAAAATAATTTTTTTTACCTACGATTATTTACGATGGCGTTGAACGCTATTTTATTGGAGGACAACGCTCTCGATATTTTAAGATATATTGTGTCATTCTTATGCGCATACACACATTTCGAAATGTGCCCTTTTCGATATAAAAGGTTAATAATAACCACAGAACTGTTTTTGTTTACGCATTCACAACGTTCATCGTTCACTTTAAATTTAAAATTATATCAACAGCAATTATCGTCGTGCAAATCAGTTGCAATTGCAATACGAAAGAGTTAATAAAATCATCAGATTCAGTTGCACGTTCACAAAGCATACGCTAAGATGGCTCGTTTATTGAATATTATAATTTTGGGTGCGTTTATAATATTTGTCAACGGTGAATGGCGTCGAACACCAGAATGTCTATTCAAAGAGTGGAAGAAGAAATTGGAGCCGCTGTTACGTAAATATCAACATTATTTTCATACCTTGCTTCAATTAACACATTTATTTTTCCACAGAGGAATACTACAAACCAAAAAGCATTACAGACATCAGATTCAATGCTATATTTGAATTCCGTTTTCCCGACGATAATGAATTTGCAGTTTGGCTCAAGTTTAAGATAGACGGTGTGCCGCAATTTGCCGTAATCCAAGGATTCGTATATAATACAGGAGAATTGCGAATTTACACTGTCGACCTTTATCCTTATTATTTCGGTTCGAGTGGCCGATGGCAGCGAATACAGAACGATAAATTCAAATCATTGAAGACAGAATTTAAACCATTGCTAAGTAAATATCAATATTTTCACACCTTTCTAGACTACGTTCATTCAACATTTATTTTTTCTCCAGGTGAATACTATGCACCCGAAAACACTGACATCGTAGAAATTTACTTTGCATGGGATTTGGTTGATTCTGACAACGGTCAAACTGAAATATGGACCAAGATTAAAGTGGGTGGTGTATTTTATTTGGCCGAAATGAAAGCATTCAGAGATGAAACGGGAAAAATAACCGTTATATTTGTGAACAGATACCCTTTTAAGAGATACCGTTGCCCAAAGAAATCATGTTGAGAAAATATTAAATACTTTTGAATGTAGGCAACAATTGCTTGGATAATCACTTTTTATTTTATTTTAATAGCAACTGTTAGCAATAAATGCTCAGAAATATTTCGGAATAAAAAACATTTTTTTTCCAAAAGAAAAGCGAAATTGATCTTTGATTAATTGACTCTCGAATAAATTTTTCGTTCAACTCCTATAGGCATCAGCTCAGCTGATTCAGCTGCTAAGTAGAAAAATTGCATCTCTGTTTGCAAAAGGTGTTTTTCAAAATGTGAGTCGGCCTGTCACTTCAACATTCAATTCACCAGAAGAACGAATAGGGCAGGAGATTCAAAGCAAAAAACACGTTCACTAAAAAATTCATTGTAAAGCCTTGGAAAAACCAAAGTGTTTTACTTATCCAACCATTTATTTCTAATAGAAATTTTCTATTCTAACAATGTCAAAAAAGTGTTCATTCAAAACGGTCAACATTGAACAGAGTGTTTTTTTTTCGTCATAAAATGAGTATTCTAAACCTTTTAACTAAAATCTACGTAATTCTTAATTTATCAGATTCATCTTTTCCTTAATCCATTCCAAGTACTGTTTAACTTTTACGTAAACGCCAGGCTTTGTTGATTCGCCGCATCGTTGACCCCATGAAATGATGCCATACAATGAGTTGACACCTGCAAATTTTCCAGAAAATTGTTATTTTTCGTAGAATAAACAAAGTATGAGAGAGTAGAACATTTGAATAAAGAAAAAAAATTGTCCAAAGACTAACTCACCACTTTCGTCGGCACAAACAAGAGGTCCACCTGAGTCTCCATCACATGCGTCAACTCCACTTTGATCCAAAAATCCTGCGCAAAACATTGTGTCCATAATTTCATCTCCGTAAATGTCTTTTTGTCGGCAGATTTCCTGCGCGATGAGTGGTACAGAGGCTGCTTTTAAGTCGAGCGATGGAGCTGAAAGAGTTGAAAAACGATTTTTAGATTTCATTTCATTTTTCTATTGTTTGGTCTTTTATTAACTCACTCGATTTTCCGTATTGAATCGATCCCCATCCGGAAATGGTGCAATTTTTGCCTGGTTCATAAATGGTTTCTTGATCCGGTAGACAAATTGGTTGGATGTAATTGGTGAACTGAATCGGTGTCTTGAGTAAAATAAGAGCAATGTCATTATTCATTAGCTGTCCTTTGCGGAACTCCTCGTGAATGAACCAATTTTCGATGAAAATTTCCACTTCCGATTCTTCTCTGATCTCAGAGTGATGATCACCCAAGCGAATGAAGTAAGCACCCTTCGGGAAGCCAATTAAGCAATGTGCTGCAGTGAGAATGTGAGTTCTCGATATGATCACAGCGCCACACCAATGCGACGAACGACCATTTCGACCGCGAGCACGGATTGTCGCTTGCCATGGATGATGGCCACGTTTCGTTCTCGATCCACTGATCACACGGAATTGACCAATGCTCTCTTCACTGTCATCGTCAGCCGTAACTTTCACTCGACCACACACATTTGAATGATCGGGAATACTCTTGCTGCTCCGTTGCACTTCACGAACGTAGTCACGAGTTTCACGATTGGTTAAGCGTTGAGGCAGAGAGTCACTGGAGATGTATTGACCACTTTTGGAAATCGAACCTGGCAATGAAAAGGAAGCATGAAAAGTTGAACAAAAATGCGAAGAAATGAATTTCCAACGATCAAATCCAATTATTTTTCTTGGAAAATCTAATGAAAATTTCTCAGTTATGTAAAAAAGTGGTAAATCTCAAATGAAATTAGAAAAAATTCTAGCTCCGTCTTCTGTTTCTCTTCAATGAAAATTTCAAAGAAAGACACAAACTCACCATGCGAACATCGAACACTAACATCTTCCGTATGATTACAATTGCTCTCACTCCAATCAAAGTGCATGCATTTGTCCAATGCAGTTTCATTACCAAGGCAATCCACTTGATCCAACCAAATTGGCCCAGTGCTCATTCCATATCGACGATTGACCACAGTCTGAAAATATGTTTAATGAAAACGACGTGAGAAAATTGTAATAGATAAACTTTGGAAAATGAGATTTTCGAAATTGGAAAGAACAGAAAGAAGAAACCAAATGACTTACCGCTGGTCCAGTGAATCCAAGTGAGGTACAGAATACGGCAGCTTCTTTGTTTCCAAAGTCATCATCACAAACCGTGCCCCAAACACCGCGGTATTTCACTTCAACTCGACCTTCCAATTCGGTTCCATCCGACAATCGGTATTCGATTTTGGCGTTACAGTGCATTGAATTCTCATCGGTTCCATCGGTGCAATCTGAAAGTAGCGGAGTTGAAGGGAATGTTTATGAATGGTTTGGAATCGATTTAGTGAAATGAAAGATTGAATAAAAAATATCATCAAAATAGAAATCACAAATTATCGTGTTTTTCTGCTCATTGATTCATGCTCCTCTTTACATCGAACGTGACAAATTTCGATGCATTCGAGAAAAAAAATCGCCCATACCTTTAATTCCATCGCACATAAATTCCATTGGGATGCACTCTTCGGATTCTTGGCACAGCCAGTGATTAGGAGGACACTGCATAACAGTGACTTTGCACACAACACCAACAACCTCTTCAGCATTACAGTCACTAATGCCCCATCCATCAAAATCGCATTCTTTCAACGATGTTTCATTGCCTTGACACGTCACCTCGTCCATTGTAAACATATTCTCTCCTCTGATATTCGAATTCGGTGGAAAGAATGAGTTCGGCTTTACCTCGGCTGAAAAATCATTTTATCCATTAGAAAAATGTCTTTCTCTCGTTATGATAATTCAAAATATTTCAAATACCTGCTCCCATATTGAATCCAAGTTCACGACACAGTACATTTGCATTGGTTAATGTGAATTTGTCGTCACAAACGTAGCCCCATTTGCCAAACGCTCTTACTTCAATGCGTCCCATGTGTTTGTGGCCTTTATCATGCGATAATCGTACTTGATAGTTCACATGCGGGCAGTTCAATTCGTCATATCGATTGCCACAGTCATTTCGTCCATCGCACAACTGAAAAAGGAATTGATCACATTAGTTTCAAATCAAATACCAAAATTTATTTATTTCATGAAAAAAAAAAACTGCTCAAAATCTCAACGTATCACTCACCTGACTGAATGGGATGCAAAAGCCGGTACCACAATCGAATTGTCCATCGCATGTCGACACCTCACCATATTGTGATTTACCAAATCGACTAGAAGTGGTTGGTTTCTCTTGATTGCCGAGCAAATTGGGTGACGGAACTGAAGCAGTTGTTGGTGTGGTTTGTTCAGTATTGCGATTATTCTGTGCCCAACCAAAATTGGGTGCATTTGTGTGATAGTTTGGACCGAAATGAGGATGACCATTATGGAAATGACTCGAATGCATTTGCGTCAGTTGCGATGGTGATGGGCCATGTTCAGATGGATTGGATGGATGATGGTAGTATCCAAAAGCTGGACGTGATTGGGTATGAGCTCCTGGAAAGGTAATCGGAACGGGATCATTAGTTCCCGGTTTGTAATATGTTGGATTATTCAATTCCGGATGCTGTGCATGGAATTCGGGCGAATGTGTAAAGCCGGGCGCAAATGACGATGACGATGGTAGTGGATGATTTGAATTATGATTGTATGGATGGAAATGAGCTGCGGGTGCAATGTCATGGTTCCTATGCGGCGTTGTCTCTTCAACAGTTTTCTTTTCGGTTGTCGATGAAATTAGCTCAATGTCCGAACGAAGTTCAGTCTTTGGTGATTCTGGTAAATTCTTAACGGCTACATTCTCATTCAAAATTGCGGTGGCCAAACTGTCTTGTTCAAGTGCTTTGCCATGAGCTTTTGAGCCATCATCAATCATATCAAGCAATTTATTTTCGATTTTAGTCATTTGCTCCGAGTCATTCGGAACTTTTGTGTCATTTTTTGCTATGTACGGACGAAGTAAGTACTTTAATGCTTCGCTGATTGGAATGTAATCGGTTTCATCCTTTTCTTGGGTTTCGTTTATTGGCTGCGTAAACGGTTGATAGTAAATGTGATTGTAGCTCTGCGGCTGTGAATATGAGCGTGGAGTTACGGTTGTCGATGATGTTGTTGTTGCCGGTGTTTTTGTTGGTCGATGATAAATTGGCATCACATGCTCATGACCGGATGGAATTTTCATCACGTTTCTATTCTCTGTCGTTGATTCAGTTGGTTTGATGTGAATCAGCCCTTTTCCTTCACGTGGTTGATATGTATCAATGGCGAAGTTCCGACTTTCGAACGTATCTGGCTCGATATCACCTCCTTTTGATGGCTTATCAAGGTCGCCGTAGAGTGGTCTCTGACGATTTTGATGGTCAACCGGGATATTCCGACCGTTTTGCTGATCAATCGGAATATTTTGCGGTCTTTGTGGATTTTGACGATCAAATTTACCATTTTGATGATTATTCAATGTGTTTTGCGAACCAGGATATGTGGCTCTGTGCCATGGCTGAGTGTTTTCATAACCTGATTGCGAATTTTGAAGTTCAGGATGCAAATTTTGCGATCCAGGATAATTATTTTGCCACTCTGGTGGTGGATTTGATGGTCTTTGATTACCATTCTGCGGCTTTTGTTCATCCGGATAATTTGATGGAGAGCGTCGATTTTCGAGTGGCAAAACTGACATATCCGGAATGAAATATGGCGTTGGATTTGTTGGTGTTGCTTGAGTCGTTTGAGAAAAGCTAAATCTCGTCGATGGTGTTGTTGTTTTGGATTTCTTTTGTCTATCTTCGCCATAAATCTCATTAGCTGAATCATCTGCTAGGCCGTTAAATGGACTTTCCCCGCCATTGAAAACACTTTGACCGTTATCGAACTCTGTTGCTTCAGTTGGATACAAATTACCTTCATCCACTGGTCTCGCATTACAATTCTTCACATTTGTTGCAAAGTCACATATTTTCAACGTGGGATTAAACATAAATCCTGCCTGGCAGCTTTCAACTGCGATTCGACCATTTTCACAGGTCACATATCGGCTGCAATCGTATGGATGCGCATGCAATCCAGTGCGATCCTCTTCACATTTCGATCCAATGGTTTCAAATCCACTTGGATAAACACTATAAATTTTGGTAATCGTTGGTTCACGTTCTGTCGTTGTTGGCGGTGGTACTTTTGGCGTGGATTTTGGTTGTGGATTGGAAAAATATTTGTTAAAATCATTGGCCACACGAGATGACATGATATTTAGCTCAGGAAATTGTTGTGGAGTACTTTCGGTTTTTTGTTGAGTTAAGAGAGCATCATCGATACTCGATTGAGTTGGATGAGTGGTTGAATCTAAAGAGTTGCCTGTGTTTCCCCATTCCAAACGTGGATCGATCCGATCTTGCGGCTGTTCCTGAACACTTTCATCGACGCGACCCGATCGATTATTAGAGACCGTAGGTTCTAACGGCGGAAGTAGAATTTGACTGGGAATTTGCACGATTTGCGTCTTTGGCGATGATTCTTGCGGTGTTTGATCGGGATATTGACCGATGGAATGTAAGTCGTCATTGATGGTTTCAGCGGTGAATGATGGAGGCGATGAAAATGAATTTAGAGAATTTAGACCGTCATTACTTTGTTGTTGTCCAGTTGCTTGTTGATGGTTGCGAATGTTGTTCTGCGGAAATTGTGGTGGGTGATATGGCTGTTGATACGGCCGATGTGTTGGATTGTTTTGATGATGGTGCGGGAACGGTGGCTGTGAATGTGCTCGAGACGAAGTGTCCATACGAAGATCCATCACTCCTTCTCCGTAGAATGGCTCGGCTTGGGTGTTGGAAAAGGTGCCCGTGTGTGAGTTGGAATTTTGATTTGCGTACGAATTTGTATTCGAGTGTGTATTCCAGTGTGAATTTGCATTTGTATTCGAGTTCGTATTTGAGTTCGGGTATGAATTTGTGTTTTGATTCGAATAAGTATTTGTGTTTGTATTTATATTGGTATTCGTGTCGTAATTTGCACTCGGAGCCACGTTGCCGAAAGGCCGGTTGCCGCAATTAACTTTGTGTGGCCAATCGCACACCTTGAACACATCATTGAACGCTGTACCCGGTCCACAATCCTGATGAAATGTGCGCCCATGATCACAATTCAAAAATTTTGTACAATCATACGGATTCGCGAACAAACCACTTGCACCACGTTCACATTCAAGTGGTGCGAACTCTTGCCGTTGGGAAAATCGTTGGTTTAATGCCGGTAATTGCCTTTGATTTGATGACAAACCTTCGTAATGGCCGCACTTCACTTTTGATGGATTATCACATTCTTTGGTCCGTGGATTGAACATTGTGCCCGGCGCACAGCTTTGAATCGTTCCTCGACCTCGCCAACAATTTAAATATTGACGACAATCCATTGCGTATGGAATTTGCCCCGTAAAGTCTGGCGGACATTCGGTTTTTGGTGATTCATCGTTTGGGATGAAATTATTGCGATGGTCGTGATTTTGACGGTCGTGCGGCGTGTGGACCTAAGAAGAAGAGGGAGACGTGATAAATTTGGTGAGAAAGTGGAAATTGTTGATTTTAATCAGCGGAATGAAACAAAAAAAAATTGTTGATCACGTTCGAATGGAGAAAAAAAGCAAATTTGAGTCGATAATTTCTGGAATTTATTGATTTGCCTTGAAATCGGCGCCAATCAGTAAAAAAATGATTAAAAGATGTGAAAACAGTCATAACATTAGAAGAAGTGAAAAAAAATCACTGGAAAATCAGTAAAAAATGGTCGTTTTTCCAGAAAAACATGTGGAGCAATAAAATCAATAAATTGTGGAAATTCACAAGCAAACACAAAAAATGGAAATTTTTGATAGAGTTTTAGATTGATATACTCTTCTAAGAACTGAAAAAAATTTCTTCATTGAAGAATGAATGGAATACCAGGAGAAAAGTGATTTCATGAAGGGAAAGAACAACATATTATGTCAACATATAAAATTCGGCAATAAAAACTGGCATGAAAACACCCAAAAAATCTATTTTTAAAGATGCGATCATGAATTTTTTTGGAAAGACCATTTGTAAGGAAGCAAAATTGTTCCACAGAATAACTGAAATGAAATTGCGTCGACATTTCATTAGCGTTATTTTCATCCGTGTGTTATCAGTTTGTGAGATTCAATCGTTTTTGCAATGCGTATTTGTGTGGCCTTTGACCAAGCACTGTCTGCTTGCACATTGATTCTTTTGCTGTTCAAACACTTTTTGTTTTTACAAATATTTTTTCCAAACAAAACGCCACATATCGACGATTCTTCCAAGTAAATCCGATTGCCTGGACACATATACTTCGACTCGATCGTCCGCTAACAAATCGCTATTTACAATAACCGAACGAGAGACATTATCGACAAAATGCCTGAATTGAGGTCACACACTTTCTGAGTTCATGAATATACTTTTTGTGCGCACATCGGTAATAAGTAATGCTTTGTTAAATTTCCTTGCTCGCATTACGAATAAACGGTAAAATGGAGTAATGCAGTAGCAAATGGAGAGCGGAGTGAGAAATGCTAATCAGATTTCATTTAAAATTGAAATAAATTAGAAGTTCAACACATATTTCGGACACAAATCACTCATCTTTATTTGAGAAACGTTTTTAACACGAATTGCAACATTTTTTGGAGACAAACGATGACAGAGTCGGACAATGCACTATTGCACAAGTTGAATCAACATTTTTGAACACTGAATTATAGCAATTGTGGATATTTTTACTGACGACATCAATTTTTTATGCTCAATCATTACTTTTGAATGGGTTCATATATGCAGACACATGGTCTGACTCAGGCTACCTGAGTAAAGTTCAGTTCATACAAAAGCTACGTCATTTTGCGGTGTAAAAAAATAACAATATTTTGTAATGTAAAACTCATTCGCAAATTCTTTGAACTAATAATAATTGCTTTGATAATATTTTTGATCTCATTTTCTTGATGGTTTGATAAATGACATATTTTTTTTCTGCTTTTTTCATCTCATTTCAAAAACAAATTATTCACAGCTTCATTTCTTTGAATTTTAACAAAAATTCTGAACTGAATTTTGAAACTGACGTTGAATTGATCAAATTTTTCGATCATTTTCACAAATTATTACCATGAATCTATGGGTGAGATTGAGAGTGGTGTGGGTTTCACAGACTTTGTATTGGAATAAGGAGAGTTTGTTCTCAAGAGGTGAGTAAATCTTGAAATAATTTTTTTCATTCCAATATTTATTGTCAAAAGTTGTATACAATAATAAAGTTTCAAAGCTATCAAATTTAATTAGACCAACACATTTTGCGAAAACATCAACTAATCAACTACTTCTTATCATTAAATTAAAAGTCGTAAAAAATCACAAGTGAAACATACTCCACTTTATTGTATTGTAAGTCATCCAAAAACATACAGTACTCTCAATTTCACCCATAGACATGATAGATGAATTGAAAATTGTCTCTTTTTGCTTCAAAAATAGTTTAATTATGAAAAAAAGTCCAACAAATAACGAAGAGTGCACAAAAAATGAACTAAAAATCAGAAATCAAATTTAAACAGATAAAAAAATCCTTGTTTTGAATTTCTGTTAAAAAGAATTAAATTCGTTTGAATAATTCCTTTGGTAAATCCATTTCTTTGGTTTTCCCCGGTTTAATTCAAATCTCTTGGTCAAAATCAACAACATTATCAACTTCAGTGTCATTCAAATGTTTTTTTTTTCGGGATTGAGTCATGCTATTACACAACGCATAATTCCATTTAAACACATATATTTATTATAATCATCTTCGCAACAATTCAATTCACTCAAATAAAAGAGATAATCAACTAACCGATTGCACATAATCGACGACACTTAAGGCCAAAATAAAAATGGCACAACAACTTTGGTGTGTTAGCTTCATGTTCTTTGGTATTAATTTAAGCACATTTCGCAATCTGAAACACTATTTATGGAAATTTGGTTACGTCTTATAAAACAAAATAAAAAATCGTTCATTCAGATCTGAGCTCAAGTTCTAAACTGAAACCGATCGTATGCTCGAGTAAGTATTAACTGATCGACCAACCAACCGATGCAGTACGACATTGCTCATCTCATTCAATGCTCTTTGCTACTGTGTTGATAATGTGTTTCACAAGCGCTGGCCGTTCGATGCGTAAGCAGTTAATGGCATAATTCCCAATGGAAAACAAGCAAGGAAGCAGAAACGTTGGGAATTGATTGAAAACGGATAAAAATTCACTAAAGGCCGGAAATGCTGATTTGAAAAGAAAACGAAAAAAAAAATGTTGGACAAAAAACATGCTGATTTGCTGATTAAAATAGAAAAGATAATTTAAAAAAAAAAACTATGAATTTTGAATGAGTACAATGCAATTACATGAAAATCACCCTGTGGCCCGAAGATCATTCGTTATCGTCGTCATAAGTCATCTGTTATCAAGTGAAACACAGATTAAACGAAGTTCAAGTGAATGAGTCAAGACGATATAGTTGAGACCAAAACAGAAAACAAAACAAGCCATTTTTGCGCCCAAATCAAATCAGTTCGCAGAATTGCGGTGTCGTATCAGTATGAAGTTCCCTAAACATTCGGATCCGTTTGAAGGTTAGAAAACTAATTTCCGACTTTTTTCCCTCTCTTTTACGCACTTTTCGTATCAGTTTTCATCTTTTTTTTTGTTCATATTGCACGCATGAGTTTTCTTTGTGTGTTGATGTTATCAGGACCCCCTTTGAATGCTATAATGTAGCAGCTCTGTGCATGTACGCAGTAGCATTTATTTGTCTCTTTCTTATTTATTTGATTGAAACAATGGCTATGCCGCAGGCTAGTTTTAGTCGATAATTTGTTTATTTCTGGTTTATTTGGTTATTTCTTTCTTATTTATCTTCATTGCTTGTGTGTACTTGTTCGATTAATTGGTCGGTCGCTTGGAATCAATTAATATACATTTGGTCCCTTGCAAGAAATGCGTCCAACATCTCGATTTGGGATTTCCAAACAATATGATCAATGTTCACTTGATTGAATCCAATTGAAATTGATTAATTGGCGTAACCAAACACGAGCCATCTTCGAATAACGCGACGAACTAATTAGAATCATATGTGTTGTGTAATGGATTTCCTTTGAAATACCCAAAGTACTGGGAATTTTTACTGCCGTCGCCGTCGCTGCTACTGATGCTGGTTCAATTGAGACACTTGTTACAATATTTAAATGAACAACACAATGAATTTCATTCAAAATTATTTGCTCTAGATGTCTGAGAGTAGAGACACATTTGCGATGCGATAGTTTTGTTGAATTTTGATTGATGCTTTTATTACGCGGTGTAATTAAACTTATTTTTATGGAATGTTTACGCTGCCATCATGCTTATGATGAATGATTTTGTCTCTGGCTAAAATTCAGTTAGAAGGTTTGATGATTTTTTTTTGTTTATTCAGAGTTTGAAAGAAAATTTTGTTTATTTGGAGTTTATAGGAATGCTTTGTTCATCGCGTAGTTCAATAACAAACACAAATTATGAATGAATTGTATATAAAGTCATAAAATTTTGAATTCATCAAAATCCATCAGTCAGCCTGCATCATTGCATTAAATGCATCGATAAATGATTTGCTTCCAGAAATTGTCCAAATCGAGTGGAAAATTTTACAATCATCAGAAATTTTCAAGTCTTTTTCCAATTCACTTAAATCGATTCTTCTTTATAGGGGAAATTGGGGAATTCCGGGCCATGGGGAATTGCGGGCCACCCGACTTTTCTATGTCACTTGAATAGTTATACAAGTCAAAATTGCTTCATTTGTCTTGTCTTAGCCTAATATCAGTTTCCTATCACCACTCGACGCGTGAACACGTGCTGTGAGCCCTCTGCAATAAGTGCATTTACGAAAATTCTAAAATATTTTTTTCTAATCATCGTGTTTGCATATTTTAAACGACCTTTTTTCGATGACAAATTCAGGTAAGTATGTTTTTTTTTATGGTGTGTCATTATTCTTTCGCCTCACAAAAGGAATTTTGCATAAAGATACATTGAGTGAGTCATGCGCAACCATCTTGTAATTATGAGCATTTGGGGAATTCCGGGCCATTTTTTCTGGGGAATTACGGGCCACTACATTTTTGACATTAGATGAGTTCAAAAAGCATGTTTATTGCACATTCAATGTTTTTCAAGCCAAATTTCGATAAAATATCAGTTAAGTGTCCTTTTCAAACATATATTTTTGTTTTTCGACAATTTCGTAGTCATGACACCGATGCCAAGTTATTATGCGAAGAAAGAGCCAGAAATTGGAAAAAAAACAACAACGAAAGGATGCAAAAACAATACCACCAGGAACAAAGAAGCGCAAAGCCCTTGCAGTATCAACCACGCCAAAGAAGAAACAGCGCACTCAATCTTCTACTGAAGAAGAAGAAGAAGATGTTTACATCTGCATCATTTGCAAGGAAAGCATGCCAAAGAAGCTCAATCGAAATAATTCCATTCATTGCGATTCATGCGACTAAGCAGTTCACTTGAAATGCGCCAATATGACGACCAGCTCCTTTACATGCGCTACCTGCGAATTATCGGACTAATTTTGATCTTGATTTAATGATTTTTCAATTTCATTTCATTTAAAATAATTTCTTTTGTCATTTTGAACGATCAATAAACATTTTTCACCAATATATTGTCTGTTTTATGTCAATCCATGAAGTGGCCCGCAATTCCCCATGATTTTCGAGAATGTCAAAAACGTCCTTTTTTTGCCAACCACAAATTTTTTTTTAGCAAAGTTGAATTTTTATAAGTGAGAATACTCCAATGGTAGGATTTGAGGCGTACTACAACTGAGATATTCTAATTTTGAAGAAAATTATATTTATCACAAAGTTATGAACGAAAAATAAACTGTGGCCCGGAATTCCCCAATTTCCCCTATGTGATTCAAACCGTATTTCAATGCATATCAAAGAGTGTGATTTCATAGCGGAGCAATTGAACTGAGCTCAATTTGCTGACTCAGACGCCTAAAGCATAATTTTAACGCATTCACGGTAAAAAATATTCATCTTTGCATAAATCCACCTTACCAATGGTTAGTAAAATTGATAAAGAGCGTGTATTTTTGCTAGACATGAAAATATTGCACTGTGAATGCGTTAAAATTACGTTTTATGCGTTATTTGTTGATAAAGATTTGTTGTTAGAAAAGAAAAAATTGCGTTTTTTTTTTTCAGTTACTTTTCGGCAATACCGTGCGGTGAGTCTATGTACGATATTTAGGATTATTTCTCACCGTTTATATTTTCATCTTAACGAGCATTTGGTCTAGGCGTTTCAAGAGCTTCATCGTTTGTGGGTCGTAGTTATTTTGAAAATACGAACTTGTGCATTGGACGGTTCTCAGCTGGCATTTTATTTACGCCTGTTTTTCGTTTCAAACTGATTGATCATTTTCAAGAAAAAAATCCGATCGAAAAAGTCTTTGACGCAATAAAACAAGATTTTGTTACTCAACTTAAGTCCATTTTTTATTAAATGACTGAAAAATTAGTAGAATGAAGTTGAATTCAGCACATTGATTTCTTTTCAATAATCGATGGAGGTATTAAAATCTAAAAACCGAAAAGTTATAGGTAAAAAATGTCATTGAGTATTTTTTTTAAAAAAAAACATGTTTTTTTTTTACCTAAATCAATTAAAAGTACATAAAAAAATAAACTGAATAAAATAATGCGAAAGAGTAAAATGTCTACATTTTCATTTTTTTCTAAATATTTTCCAACTAAATAAACTTTAACTTAACAATGAATTACTTCATTCGAAAAAATTCTTTAAATCGTTGGCTGTCATCAATGGCTGTTCCAATCAAGTTGTATGAGTTCAAAGTAAGTCCGTTGCTAAATATGTGTTCACTATTCCAAAACCATGATTGCAAATTTTTTATTTCGAGTTTTTTGGGTTGGCAGTGTGTTTCATGGATTTCAACGCTATGATCCACCAGCCGACTCGGATCATCAGTATAAAATGGGCATTTGTTGCAGCAAAAATGCTGTTCATGATGAGCAAAATGTTCAAAGAAAATGGGTTGATTGACCTCCAAACGGCAGCAACCGGTGATTAATTGAACGCTGTGATTGTCATCACATTCGATGCGTTCAAAGTTGGTCGTTTTGTGTTCGCGCAAATAATGATTTTTCATATCATTCTCCGTTTCGTGGATGTCGAAGCACTGGTCACATTTTTTTCGAACGTTAATTTGGCGCAACTTTTCGATAGTGGCATCGTTCAGACACACCGGATTGACGACATTGTCCTGCTGAATCAATGAATGCTCCGAACGAAAATGATCGACAATGTTGTCACCAATGAAGTTGCAAACACTGCACTGATTATTATCGGCAGGGTTAACAGCAATAAATCTTTCTTTCGGGTGATTTTTTGCATGATGCTTCCGAAGATCACGGAATGTGCTTAAAACCGGGCAATATTTGCATGAAACCAAAGGTAGCGCTTGGAATCGAAATGGTAATTGATCATCTGTTTCATGTGTATTCGACCAATGCGCCAAAACACATTCAACTTCGCTAAAATATTTGATCGTGGCATGGCTATGGGCACAAGTGTACAGGATTTGACGATCAAATGATGCGTTCATTTTCGTCATGTCTTTGCAGTCGACTGATTTTATGTTTTTCAAGAATAATGAACCGAATCGAATAGCAATCGGTTCCAGCTCGTGCCGTTGTTGATGATGAGCAACAAGGTTTTCTTTTTTGCCAAATGTTGAGTTACATATGGCACAAATCAATTGTTGTTGCATCTCAAATGCTGGAATTGGTGGAATAGAAGTTCCAATCTTTTGTTTAGGAGTTGTTCTCTGGCTGCTTTGAATCACGATAAAATCCACGGTTGCACTATTGTGAAAAATCTTGAAATGTTCCATCGCCTGTGCAATGTTCGAGGTGAATGAATAGCACATTTTGCACCGAAATACCAGGGTAATGTCATCCGTTTTTAACATTTGTCCATTACAATCCAACTGTTGGTGACTATATCTGTGGTGAATCACAAACAAAAACAATGAAATTAATGAGAAACAACCAGACAAAGTGAATGGAAATCAATGAAAAATGAAAAGAAAACTTAATGAAATCGAAATACATAGAAAATGGTGACTATACTTGAAATTCTGCGTCAAATGACAGCGAGTTAGATGACGATGCATATCGACTTCAATTGGAAACACTTTTATGCATCCAAAACAACAAAACACATTGCATCCATGCAATTCCACGTGACGAATTATATCGCTTCGTCGAGGTTTTGTTCGATCGTCGTCCATCGGTTGGGTTTGTTCATTGCAATGTGGGCACCGGTAACGTTGGACATACCCGTCACTTGGATGCACACTCGCGATATGACGATCCAAATCAGATGAAGTTGGAAAACAATGGTCACAACCAATAACACCACATTTGTACCGTTCGCTATCGATGACAAACGCATACTTCTTGACGGTCATGTGCAAGTTTTTACTCATCGCAACATCTGGTCGATTATGACTTGTCGTGACTTCTGAAATTAAAAGGAAACAAACACAAGTTCATAAGTTTTTCAAGTTTCCTACTCATTTTTATTGTCCAATTCGTCATAGAATCCAAATTGACGGTAGTCATCCGATCGATCCATGATATCAATACACTTACTTGGCCATTCATTATGACTGTGCTTGCGATTTTGTTCTCCTTCATCGGCATTTTTTCTCTTCAATGGAGCGGCTGTGGATTTCCGAACCGGAATATTCCTGAAAATTGAAAGCCAAAAAAAAAAAAATTCGGACTCATTTGGCGTGTGATGTTATGAAGATTAACAGGAAACTTCAAGCAATTCAATATAAATCAACGCAACTTGTGCAAAGAGACGTTTAGTAGGAAAAATGATAGAAACTGCGTGAAATTTACATGATTCTTATGTTGTGTTGTGTTCTTCTGATCGTGATATTGTGGATTTACGCGGAGATTGATGTTTCGGCCATCAATAGCAATGTTGCAGCAAACCTTTTTGCATCAAAAACTGTGAAACCAATTCGATGTGAGTGAGGTAAAAGCCGGCACAAATGTCAATCGGTTCAATAACAAAAAAAATGCCGCTCTTCAACAAGTGTCAAAGTGACGCTAACAAAATTTCGAACAATGCGTCGAAGTATTGGTGCAGAAATATGTAAATAATTATAGCGGCACTCGGATGTTTATACCCTTAAAGCAACAACATAAAATCATATCGCACTCAATCAGTGTCTATCTCTCTCACACACGCTTTCTCTCCTTCTTTCGCTCGTTTACATTTCTCGTATGAACGGCTACTGCTTTTGCCACTGAGCTCGCTTTGAGCACGACAACAACAAATCAAAGAACGTGCACTTTTTCGGCAAGAGGCTCCGGCTATGATGAAATACAAACAGAACCTCTGTCGAGGAGAAAGAAAGAGAGAAAGAAAGGAAGAGAGGAAGAGTGGAATATAGACAGAGATACAATCACATGGCGCATAAGAATGAAAAATGTACTGCAATCGCATGATGCGAACGTTCGCTATAAACATCAAACAAAATTTCTGTTGCGAATGTAAGACATCTGTATCTGTTCAATGCACGTTTGTGCAAAATATGAAGAAATGTTCGCCATTTGCACCAAAATATACCTCTCCATGTGAAGCAAGATACGAAAACTATTCACAAACAGCCGTATTCTGTGATGCTACCGATTTAGAATGTAAATATTACATTATTTTGAACAGACATACCCCACTGCTTTAGCCAATGTGTTATCTATCGTATTTGACTATTCGGCTCATTCGGACGGGCGCCTTTTTTGTACTCGAAAATATGTGTATTTTTGTTTAATCCATTCTCCGAGCATGTATATGGAGTTTCAATACATTATATTTGGTACGGGCGTCTAACTCCATCTACGGATTTTTCCAGTAGTTGTGAATCGAGTAGACATATAACGATTTCAACTATTTTTGGGCGAAATTATCTCGAAAATATACAAAAATGAGTTATTTGTTATGCGAACGCTCAAACGGCTACCGGAAATGTACACGCAAATACATGCAATCGAGTGTATTGTAAATTTGTCATCTAGTAACGATTGCATGTCTACTGAATCAGTGCGTACATTAACAGTAGTCGTTTGAGCGTTCGCATGACAAATAACTCATTTTAGCATACTTTTGAGATAATTTCGCCCAAAAATAGTTGAAACCGCAACTCAATAGAACTCAACTGCTGGAAAAATCCGTAGATGGAGTTAGACGTTTCAAATACGTCATGTTCTTGGTATGGTTTAATCTGCTATCAGCAAAGTGATCTACTAAGTCGATGTGTGTGTGCGTGTGTGTGGTGTCATGGTTCTGTGTGTATGAGTGTCGGCTGTCTATATTGTCGTAAAAACTGACAACAACATTTGACACTTTAAACAAAACACAAAATGTGCGATTTATTTTGCGCATATTTTATTTCCATTTCAGAGATCGCTCTTACTAAGAACAATTTTTTTCCAAAATGAAAATCATCACCATATTTTCTAGAAATAAATTGTTTAAATGTTTAATCATTTTACTGTGCATTTTATATTTTTTGATGTTTGGTTACTTGTGTTTATTCGTATTCCGTGAAGTGACTATTGAAACTAGGACCGAAAATCCACATCATTCCACTGAAATAAGCAATTTAACACAATTTCTCGAGCAATGTTTTGGAACTAGAGTTCTGAGCTATACACTGAAACCATTGACTAAACTTGGAGACAGTTTTGGTGGTGTTTTGCATTTCGTTGACATAAAATTAGCTGCACAAAATGATTCGGATCAAGTGAGTTTTAGCCAAAGAAAATCTGAACGTTTTTTTTTAGGGAAATATTGTGTTGAAGAAAAAATTATAATTCAGAAAATAATAGCGCTTCATTTCATGCTAAAAATTAGAGAAAATTTAACCATTCAATCAATGAAAAACGATAAAAAGATTGAGCCAAAAAAGGCTCATTCGAATTTGGATTTGTTTGCTCATTGAAAATTGAATTCACTTAAAAATTTGCCACAAGAGATTCAATCAATGAGGGGAAAATGTTTGGTAAACAACTCAACGAAAACTGGAGCATTTTTTCTAAGAGTTGATGAACTGCCTCAAACCAATCAATCTAAGAAAAATGGGATTTTATTAGATTTTTCCTCGTCATTTTTTTTAATTTACAGAATGTGGACTTACAATTGGTCGTTAAGACGCCAATTACTCGGCAAATTTCGGTGAAAAATCCAATAGTGTCACTCATAAGAGAAATACATTTCTATTCATACATAATCCCAGCCGTGGAACAGTTTGAACGAATGTCAAACATATCGCAAGCAGACAGATTGAATGCGTTTTTTCGCTACTATGGATCGAGAACTTCGTTGAAGTCGGGTGAGTCATCATGATCATTTTGCATGGAATATTGTGTATATGCTCTCATTGTACGGCTCGCATTATATGATTCATACAGTATGAACAAAAATGAATTGCAGTGAGAAACGTGTGTTTGGAGATCTGTCACAGCGACAAGTCACTGTTGTTGTTTTGCTGTTGAACATTCCAACTTGGAATAATTTGTCAGGCGAAATAGCTAAGACAGAAGAGCGATATGCGAGGCGATAGGTATGAGTTTTAACAAAAATTCCACATTACAGATACCGATCATGAGGACTTCAATGCGCTGTTACTGCTTGAAAATGTGAAGCTTCAGAATTATGTCAACGGGAATAAATACGTCGGTTTTGAGAAGGAAGAGACATTTGCCGTGCTAAAAGTAATTGACATTCGTTTCTTTGCGAAGCAAAATCAGTGAACAATTTAAGGAAAAATATTTTCTCGATGACGAATTATTTTTTTTCATGGAAAAGTGGCTCTTTCAGAGGGAAGGATGATTTTGTCTGAAAAAAAATTATTTGAACCAGTCAAATATCACATCAATTTTTAAAAAATGTAATCGAATTTAAATCTTGCTTAATTAACAGGTAATGGCAAAGTTCCATGCATTGTGCATCGCAATGAGACTACAACAGCCCGAATTGTTCAATACAGCAGTGAGACCCTATCTGCCACTTTTGAATGCAACACCACATGACCAACGGTTAAAAGTATAATTTTCATCATCAAAAGAACAAAGTTTGTTATTGTTACTCTGTGATAATCACATCGAAATTCCATATTTCCACCAGATTCTATGTGATGAGCTTCGTCACGTTGACAATATGTCTCCGAAGATGTTCAGAAGAGTTGTAAACACTCTAAAAATTGGCGTGAAATTCATCAAAAGTCGAAATTGTGGCACCGACACTCCATACAAAACAATTGGGAATAAAGATTTCTGGATCAACAATATCATGCTGAAAAAAGGTTCATTCAAATCGACACAGTCTCATTTAGTTCAATTTTTGGATAATTTTTCGACAAAGAATTCGAAAGAAGTCACTTGAAAAATCCAAAACTCAAACGAAGTAGAAGTACAGTAAATGTGAAAAAAGCATCACACTTTTTCTCCCTGCCTCACTCTTTGTTTCAACGTTTTGCTGCCATTTTATTCCAGAATTGAGTGAACAACATTTTTATTTTTTTATCTTTAGATGTCAACCCGATCAAAGTGAAAATTTACGACTTTCAACTCAGCAGCTACGATTCGTTTGCCCTGGATTTGGTGTTCTTCTTGTTCACAAGCATTCAGAATGATGTTTTGAAAACGAATTTCAAGTCTTTCATCGCTTATTATCACACGGAGTTCATCCACACTATGAACACAGTCGACCTACCGTTGCATGATTACACTTATGAAAAGTAAGTTTGGTTCTTCAAAAAAAAAAAATCTTCCAAAAAATGAATGAGGGAAGAACAGAAGAATAAAAAAGGATAGTTTAGATAGAGATAGTTGGAAAAAAAGGTTAAAATTGCTTCTCATGTTCGCTGGGGACGATTAATTATGATCGATACAGAAAAAAAATGACAGTCAGCACTGTTGACTCAACAGTGGTTGTTCATAAACTTTGTGGAGAATCTTGCTACAACGAAATTAAACAATATTCAATAAACACACTTTCTTGGGAAGGAATAGCTATTTCTACGGAAATTGGGATGAAAATTGGAATTTTCGAAGCATCAGTAAAACAAGAGTCAAATACTTTGTACTTTAAAATCAATTTAATGACTTTCCTTTGGTTTCTTTCATAAAAGTAACAAAAATAGTTCCTATGCAGCAATTGATCGCAAGAAATAGTAGAACACCGTGTAAATAAATCACTTCGACTGATATTGGAAAGAATTTTTCACCCATTATCGCAACGATATTGATAGCCATTGAATAAAATGTCATGCCAATCGATCGAATCTGAAACGATTTGATAAAAAAATGTTCTCATGGGTGTGACGCAAGTGAATTGTTTCAATCGATTTGATATGAACATTTAATAGAATCATTCAAAATTCGAGCAACAATCCAAGTTCGATCTTCAAAGCTTGTGCTTATTAGTAAGCAGCTTATCTTTGGTGGAAAACTTTCCACAACGAATGTGTTCGCTAATGCGACAATTCCGGCACTTGAGATGAAAATAACAAAGGATAAGCAAACCTCGGGCACCCACGTAAAATGCGAAACATCACATTGATTTTGGCGCAAGTATGAATGAATAGCAAACGTAAAAAGTCCAATGGCCGAACCAAAAAGTGAGATGATTAAAGTCGTTTTTCGGCCAAATGTGTCACCTAGTTGCGTCGCTACCAATCCACCGAGAATCTGGGCAACCGATAACACTATGGTCGATATTTCTATTTTGAGCGCTGTGCCCGATATTTTGTAAATTAACGACGCATAATTTACGATAATAAAAAATCCAGTTGACTGGAACAGCCAAACCATTGCTATTGCTATGCCAATTCCTTTCAAAGCGGCTCGATTATAGTAATCTTTTGGCTGAATCTTTGCACTTCGTCTTCGTTCCATCTCAATCCTTTGGATTTGCTCGAATTCACTCTGCAAGAGGGATGTTTCATGGCTACTCTCGCCATCGACCGATTTGTAGAACATTAACGCTCTTTTGGCTTCCTGTGAATGGATTTTAGATCATTTAACGATTGAAAGTTGATAATTTTCGTTGAAAAATAGTTTGAATTTCATATAAATATTTAACAATTCAAATTTAAACTGAGAGAAAAATTGAAAAAAAAAATGAATAAAAAATCGCCTTACTTCAACCTTTCCACATTGAAGATAATATTCTGGAGTGCTAGGCAAAAAGTTGATCCAAATGAAAAATATCACAGGAAACACCACAAAAATAAACGGCCGGTGTTCGTAATCGACGACAGCTGCTGCAATATTCGCTAACAAAATGCCCGTATTTCTTGCTAATGGAAAAACTGAGCCAAGGCGGCCTCGAATACTAAAAACACAATGAGAAATTGATGAAAATTTTTGTAAATAGAAAATAATTTATTTATTTTTAAAAAAAAAATTGAAAATGAAAAAAAAAAGTTTCCAAAAAATCGTTTGCACTTACTTATCGTTGGAAATCTCGGCGACGAAAAGAATGACTCCCGATTGAAAGCCACCACCAATACATCCGGTTGCAAATCGTGCAAAGAAAATGTGGTAGAACGAATCACCGAAGTAGATTAAAATCCACACAGTGACTGCTGGCAATGCCAAAACGGTCATGGCGCGTTTCGAGCCCAATCGGATCGACAGAAATCCACTTATGAATGTTCCACATAAGGCACCGAAACTGTTCATTGCTCCAATCCATGACAATTTTTCATTGGTTAATGGACCGGTTTTAAGCGGCGTCTCATCCGATAGAAGTACACGCAACGCAGGTGAAAACCAACCAACACAACTGCCGAAACTTACCACTATGATATTCGCTGGTTTGGGAAGAAAAATTGATCTTTTTAAGTGCTAGGCAGATGAAAAGACACAATAATAGAGTTTTAAAATATTGAGTCATTGATTTTTTTTGTTGTAGTTTTTCTATATTTTTTCTTTAAATTTTTCTGTTCTCTTTTTTGTGTCGTTATTTTTCATTTTTATTACAAAAATTACCTATGATAGTTGCATAGATTTGATTTTTTACATTTGATAGTTTTGGATGACTTTCCGAGTTTTCTAACATTTTATCAGAGACTGAACTAAATATGGGAGATATTCGTAACCAATTTCACTTTTTGATCAATAGTTTATTTTTTCACTCGTTTTTTTTCTGTTATTTACTCTTTGTGCTATTATAAAACACTAGTACTAGTTTCTATTTGCGTAATATATAGGGAGTGAATGGATTTTTTTTTTTCACCAAACTTGAATTTTAATTTAATTAAATTCTTAATACTTTTCGATTCGAGTAATGGAAAGGTTTTTGCCAAATTTGGTCTTTATTTATCAAAAGTAAAAATGCAACTGGCTCAATCAATTGTAGATTTTCGGTATAGCGATTATCATATTCTACAACAATACAACTAAATGCTTATGCAGTCAAATTTACAAGCAATAAGTTCAAAGTCGATTTTTTCTCCCAAAATGCAACTATGTTCGATATGCCAATGACACAATTACTTTTATTGTGTCTCACACCAAATCACAGCTGTTTAAATAGCGACCGAACAATTCAACGGCCACTTTTATAGCTAAAAGTATCGTGAGTTTAATTGCAAAACGTGAATTTTTTTTAAACGGAAATTATTTCTGAATCGTAAATCATTTCTAAACCGTTCATATTGCTGTGTTTTGTTTCATTTTGTTTGTTCATCAAGCGATTAAATCAATCATGTCAATTTAATATCAATCAGTCATAAAATTATCTCACATACACACACGCGTTGTGACATCTTAAGTGCCACATCGAGATAAGCATGTTCTTTTTCGAGTGTTGTTTTCGCGTTCACGATGCATTGTCATGGAATGCGTCAAAGACCATTGCAAATTTTATCATAAAAATTAAAGGGCTAGCATATCCGCTAGGTATCGTTTTAGTCGGTTGATATATTGAAGCAAAAAAAGTTTTTCTAAGTTTTATTGATGCAATTAATTTTTTTTATAAACTGTGTGTTGAGAAATTGAATTTGCAATTTTATTTTACCTTTTTTTTTATTCGAAGATGTTTTTTTTTTATTAAAAAAAAGTCAGATTCATAACGGATTTGTTTGCGGCGATGGTAGCGATTCAAGCGGCATATGAACGCTACTAAAGCGGCCTTTTAAATTTTATGATAAATTTCATAGTTCATATTGCGAACGTATTTGTTTTTATCACGTTTGTTATGAGACGATTCAAAGAATTGAATTGAAGCAATGGAAAAAATCATTTCTTTGTTTGAATTGCGGTTTCTTGATGGATTTGAATAGAGTAGAAATGATGCATCGTCATAGATTCACAGACCATTTGATAGAACATGTTTCTGTTTGGGCATTTCTGACCATTGCAATGAGTATTTTGATCAGTTTGTATTTTTCTCTTTTGTAACTGTATCGAATTCAGCAGTAATTTCAGTATTTGAAGGTAGTTTTCTCGTCAAAGGGGTGCAATTATCGTGGATCAAAGGAATTGAACCCTTAATTTGTCAAGAGAATAAAACCAGATTCATGTTGTAATTATTTATTCATATATTTTGAATGAATTTATTCTAATTACACATTCGATCACCAATTCAATACGTATTTTTAGTACTAGATAAAGTGTGTTTTGTTATGGATTTTTCTTCAAAGACGACCATTATTAAAAATTTCACTTGAAGACAATCATTTTTGATCTTTTTTTGAAGACAAGTGCAGATTATCGCTGTTCAATGCACACCTGTCACACCGACATGTAGAAATGTTGATTATCTGAATTAATTATCATGTGCAGATCTAACTAATATACTTTTTCTTTGCATATTTTAGTTACTTTGGGTTTATCATAATCTGATCTTAATTTTTTTTGAATAATTATTCTAATTCATTCCAACGAATAGGCATTTTTGTCCCTAGAGCAATACACATTTTACATAAATTCAGATTTTTTTTTTGACATTTTTCTTCAAAAAAAAAAACGAACCAAAAACCAAAAATTTCCTTAAAAAAAATTCAAAATAATTTATCTCGCTTTAATAAATGGTTTGAATGTTTTGTTTATTGTTTCAGAATGTGGCAAGAAATCCGCGTGAAAGGCAAATATCGATTTTATAGTATGCTGCAGCGGGCAAAAATATCAAAAGCCGACCCAACACCGATCAATACGACTGAGCATATGGCCATTTATATGAAACCAGCACGGAAAGCCATTCTCGATCAATGGAAGTTCATCATTGACATGTTTTTTGAAAATGGTTTGATTTGAAGGTTTTTTTTAAATGAATTTCTCATGGAAATGACACATATAGGTGTGTCTTTAGGATAAGTTGGTTCAATAATAATTAAGTTTTAATTCCAACATGTAATGAACTCAACTAGTCTTAGTTTTTTAAAATTAAATTTGTATCCATACAGAAAATAGAAAAACAAAAAATGAACGAATCGAAATATTATATTTGTCAGTTCTTGTCGAACAACGCAGACATGCAAATTCAAAGTGCATCGTTCTCCAGATATGTTCATCTGGAACAAACGTTGCATTCTGAATAAATTTTTCACATATATTGTTTTAGTAAATACGTATTCAAATAAATATCGTGTAATCGTTCCGCAATCGAATTGGCGATAAAAAACGAAAAAAAAGTTCAACAAAACCATGGTTTTATTGAATTGTATTAAGTTTTTTTTCGTTTTTTAAATTTCCCCCAAATATCGGCAATACGGTTCGCTTAAGTTCATCTCAAGCCGTAAGTACGTAAATACAACTTTGACTTTAAGTCCATCCATCAGCTGTGCACGAGGTACATTTGACATGAAGCGTGTTGGTTGTGTCAAGTCCATATCCAGTGTCATTGGGTGAAGAAAAAAACACATTTACTGTAAAAACTCTGCATAAATTGTAATATTTTTGTTGTTTTTTACCGCTTCACCTGAAAGCGTGGCGATAAATGAAAGTGGATATCGCTTAATTGTTGTGAGTACTGTATATTCCCATAAAATTGGTCGAAATAATTCGGAAAATTCTCAATCAGATTCGCATGTTTTCATTCACAGAGTTCATCAAGAAAATCCACTTGAAAATGAGTGTGGGAATTCAGAAGCTGAGGCCCAGAAACGATGACAAGCAAAAGTCATTGCGGTATTATTTACGGTATGAGCTAAACGAAGACTGTTTGGTGGAGCTGTGTGAATACTTACATGTTCATGATTTGATGCAAATTTGTGATCTCGACACCGAAGATGACCAATATTTCACCGTGCTGATAAGAGAGCGTGTGATTGGTCGCAAGCTAATCGATTTAGAGCCACGGAATAAGCGTCAAAAGGTGTGGTCATTCACAAAAACATTCGAAACATTTGGTCCATACATCAAGCGCTTGAAGATCCCATTGCGTTCGAATCATTTCAATTACATTTTGCGTAAAATAATAACACACAGTGCACCGGGCACACTGACCGAAGTGCAATTCATGTCGTTGCCATCGGAGAGCCATGAAGATGTTGAAGTGCCGGTGAATTGTGATTTGTTGCAACAGGTCATTCCATACTTCAGCAAAGTTAAAACGGTGCTCATCGAGGACGAATGGAGCGCATTGTGGGGATTCTACAGCATTTTTCTCAATTCAAGCAATGTGAAAAGCTTGAAAATGATCAAAGTTAACGGAGGCAAAAAGGTATGGTCGGAACTGGCAACAATCGACCATCTCAATTTGACCGAGTTGAAAGTGGTTGAATGCATCAGTGGACAAGATTTAGCAAAATTTATCGCGAAGCTGCCACATCTGGAAGTGTTCAATTGGCATGGACGCAGAGATTGTGCAGCCGTTGGTATGGCACTTGTCAAAAATTGTCCCAAATTGAAAGTCTACGGTGAATATTGCGAAAATCGAAGCGATGATCCACACTACTACGATTTTCTCGGCCATTTTCAACATTTGATCCAAGTAACATTGACATCGAAATCGACCACCGCTCATGATCTCAAAAGTACGCTGCAGATTTTGTCACGACGCAATCAAGTGAAACAGTTGACCCTCTATCAAAGTGACGCCAAAATGGTCGAACCAATGATGATTGATGAACATTTTTTCGAGTATTCACACGGATTTTCCAGCTTGAAGACCATTCTATTCCACTTTTATGACCATTCAGCTACCATTGATTTCGAACAACGCCAACCATTCTTTCGTAACTTGTTGTCGTCGATGCATGGACTGGAAAAAATGACAATGATAAGCGGATCGTATGTTTTCAACATTCCAAGAATCATTCAGTTCACACCGCGAATCCAAGAAATTAGCATCAACCAGCAGAGATTGTTTCATATGCCAGCTGAGGTTCGACGCATTCGAAAGTTCATCCAAAAAATTGCCGACGAAAGACAAAACGATGGCACATTCAAACCCGTTCGAATCATCATGAATGCTGAACAAGCCAGGGAATTTCTGGTACTGAAGAACATCGAACAAATCGTCACTATTATGATTAAGGATGAACATGAGGATAGAGCACATTTTGGATACACCATGATGTAATTTTCTACGGTAAGTTCCATCGGAAGAAGAAAATCTAAAAAGTGACCGAAATAATCATTCATCGTCTGTATCGCATTAACATTCCCAATGCAATGTATATTAGCTAGTATTTCATCATGAACTATTTCGCCCATTCCATTCGAATCATTCATTCCACCATTCACGCGGTGTGTATTTTTTATTACTGCTTTTTACAGATGCAACAATAAACATTTAAACCGGAAATAATTTTTTTTTTCTGTCTTTTATTGATTGTTGGACATTTTTTGATTGAACATTTTTCTATAGGGGACGAGAATAAGGCAAACATTTTTTTTTTCTTGGCATAGATCTTTTTTGATACTTAACCGTCAAACAAATTGGACTTTGCTGTATGTTTTTTATACTTTTGCATCGTCAAAACACCAACAAACCAAATGAATTCCGAATTATGAACTAATTTCCCATTTTCAAAGAAAAATTTGTAGAAAAAACTCATTTTTCATAACATTTGACTCGACTCAATTCATTTTTACACAAATTATTCATTCAACTTGCTATTTTGAGTGGTTTTTCTGCTTGTCTTTTCAAATTCGTACTTAATTCGTTTCTTTTCATGCTTTGACAGTCGATTCAACAACACTGATTGGGTGACGTTTGAGAAAGTGCATTCAATTGGTTTGACACTTCAAATCATTTGATGGTTGTATTGTGTGATGTGAGGATTATTTTCATAATTTTTACCGTTTAATTTGATAGAGTTTAAATGATAAAATTTTGAAATATATAAAAGTCGCAAGTCGCAAGTCGCAATCCAAAAAAGAAAATTCATCAAAAACCACCGCAAAAATGTAAGTAATATTCACATTATCCTTAAACAGCTACGTTGCAATCTGTCGTCAATTGTTTGTTTGGTTCATTGCATATTGCAGTGTTTAAAATAATCTCCCTCTTCTTCTTATTATGAAATTCATTTTCATTTCATAGAACGCAGAGAATAAGACTTCAATTTTTTTTTTGCAATGCAAAATTACTCTTTCACAGCATATTTTATGCTCATTGCCTTCTATGAAGTAAAAATGAATTTCATCATAAGAAGAAGAGGAAGAATACGGACTATTTCCATCGTTGGAACGAATGTGGTATTATTCTAACATTTTATTTTGTTTTATTTCATATTTATGTCGGTTGCTAAAAAAGACGAAAGTGGTGAAAACGTTTAAGTCATTAAATTGTTGATTAAAATCGATCACTTCATCCATCGTGTTGCCATTGAACTATGACGAACCCAGCCAATTCAACAACGAACTTGGAGAAAATACTTCAGTGCAGTGGACTCAACGAAGACTGTTTGGTTGAAATATTGAAATACCTAAGTGTTTGCGAGCTGTTGATAGTATGTGATTTAGACGACGGAGACGATAAATCGATCACGAATCTTATCAATGACCGTGTTATCATCAAGACATTCATCGATTTCGATCAAATCCAATCGGAGCAAAGCTCATGGTCGGTCAATAGAGTGTTTGAACAATTTGGCCAGTCGATGAAACGATTGAAGGTAAGACTGACTTACGTAGATGACATCAGATTCAAATTCAGTTTATAATTGTTGTCTGACTTCATTTTGAATTATCTCCGTTTTTTTTCGACCTTTTTTCAAATTCCAGGTATTGATAACATCAGTAACATTCAATCTTTTTCTACGAAAGGTCGTTCGATACTGCCGACCGGATCGTTTGTCTGAGCTTGAAATCGTAATAAATACAAAATATGTACCATTGGATGTTGATAACGTGCTATGGGAAGAAGTGCAACAAAAATTCCGTCGTCTTACAAATTTTACCCTGAAACGTACGTTGAAAAGCCCAGACGTGAACCAAAATAAGTGGATGTCCGAATTTGTCAACCAACTTGATTTGCCACACCTCGAAGTTCTGGCACTGCAACGCTTGTGGTTAACCAATACTTGGTTAGGATTGTTCCCAAATCGGCAAATGTGTGCCAATATCACTGAATTGCGCTTGATGAACGTTAGTTTGCACGAAAATATCAATGATTTTCAAAAGTTTCTAAACCAATTTCCGAATCTCGAAGTGTTTATTCACACGGGTGGCGAACAAGAATTTACAACGGTCGCTGAACAAGTGCATCGACGATTTCCAAATTTACGCGGTTTCGGATGTAGCATCAGTCCTTTTGACGAGAAATCTGCTTTTGACAAGTATTTCAATGTTCTAACGATTTTTACAAATTTAACCGAATTCCATATAGATGTCTTTGGACAACGTTTTCAACATGTGGATGCTATTATTCGATTTGTTCCGAATATTAAGATTCTGGCCATTTGGCAAATTTTAGACTTATACCTGCTTCCAGTCGGAATTCGTCGTATTGTGCAAGCGATTAGAAAAACCATCACCAATCGACGTGAACGATTTCCAGCCAACGACCGTATCCACCTTCTTGTGAACGAATATCAATTCAACGAATTTAAAGTTATCAAAAATATTGACGATATCATACGGCTCACATTCATTGATTTCGATAAATCGATTCCCGGTTAATCAATTGGTGATATCATACGGCTCACAGTCTGTGATTCCTAGTAAGGTCATTGATTTAATCTATAGATGTTGATATTTAACTCCTGATGAATCTAAACTTATTCGTATTTTTGTGAAATAAACTGAATAATACCTAATAAATGAGTCTTGTCGACAGTGTCTACTTGTAAGAACGAAACAAAATGTGATTTTTTCTATCTTTTTTCCGAAAAGTTTAACGAATTGAAGATAAGAACAAAAAAAATGCTGCCTAGAAAAATAAATAATGAGTAAGTATTATTGTAAGTGTCTGTTTTAACAGTTACAACATCCGTTTAAGTTCTCATTATATCTCGGATGTCAGTTTAATTAAAAGTGAAATTTGAATCGATTCGGTTATGTTGCTGTTGGGCATACACAAACATAAGCGTTTCAAATATCTCTTCTCAAGATGATGAAAAGCCTCTTGACGAAAACACTCTTTTTTCTTGTTACCATTCATACCATTTAATTCGACTCAATTCATTTTTACTCAAATTAGTTGTTCAACTTGCTGTTTTGAGTGCATTTTTGCTCGTACTTAATTCGTTTCCTTTCATATTTTGACAGTTGATTCAACGACATTGAGTCAGTGACGTTTCAGAAAGCGCATTGAATTGGTTTGACACTTCAAATCATTTGGTGGTTTTATTGTGTGATGTGAGGCTCATTTTCATTATTTTCACCGTTTAATTGATAGAGTTTAAATGATATTATTCTGAAATGTATGAAAGATGCAAGTTGAAAAATAAAATTCATTAAAAATTGCCTCAAATATGTTATTTCATTCACATTTTCCCCACAATGTTTGTTTGGTTTATTAAACATTGCAGTGACTAGAATAGTTCCAATCTTCCTCTCATTTTTATTGTGAAATTCATTTTTATTTCATTGGCAATGAAGCTGCAATTTTTTTTGCAATGTTTAATGTCTTTTTTTAATGAAATATAAGATACAAACTATTTTAGTCAGTGGAATCTTGTCCAAAAGTCGCCAATCATCACGAATTTAGTATCATTCTCACATTTTAATTTGTTTTGTTTCATATTTATGTCGGTTGCTAAAGAAGACGAAAGTGGTGAAAACGTTTAAGTCATTAAATTGTTGATTAAAATCGATCACTTCATCAATCGTGTTGCCATTGAACCATGACGAACCCAGCCAATTCAACAACGATCGTGGAGAAAATACTTCAGTGCAGTGGGCTCAACGAAGACTGTTTGGTTGGAATATTGAAATACCTAAGTGTTTGCGAGCTGTTGGTAGTATGTGATTTAGACGACGGAGATGATAAATCGATCACAAATCTTATCAATGACCGTGTTATCATCAAGACACTCATCGATTTCGATCAAATCCAATCGGAGCAAAGCTCATGGTCGGTCAAAAGAGTGTTTGAACAGTTTGGCCAGTCGATGAAACGATTGAAGGTATAAGTCCATATGACATCCTATTCAAATTCTCTATATATCGTGGCACATAACATATATCAAAATCAAACAAAGTGAAATAAGAAGACTCCAGATCAATTGCCTCCAGGTGTTGGTAACATCAGAAACATTCGAACATTTCTTACGAAAGATCATTAGATACTGCCGCCCGGATTGTTTATCCGAGCTTGAAATCGTATATAGTTACAATGGATCATTGGATGTTGATAACGGGCTATGGCCACAAGTACGGCCATATCTTCGTCGTCTCACAAAGTTGATCCTCAACAATCGGCTATCAGCTATTGTCGACCAACTCGATTTGCCACACCTCGAGATTCTGACATTGCAAAATTGGTGGGGAACAAGAACTTGGTTAGAATTGTTCCCAAATCGGCAAATGTGTGCCAATATCACCGAATTACGCTTGGTGAACGTTAGTTTGAACGATGATATCAATGATTTCCAAGAGTTTCTAAACCAATTTCCGAATCTCGAAGTAACGGCCAACTGAGTTTTACAGTGGTCACTGAACAGGTGCATCGACGATTTCCGAATTTACGCGGTTTTGGGTGTAGTATATACGTTGATTTTAACGAGTACTTTGTTTTTGACTTAGTTGAGTACTTTTATATCTTGACGAATTTCACACATTTAACCGAGTTTCATACAGGCACTTACTTAAGGCAAAAACTCTATAATTTGCATACTATCTTTCGATACACACCGAATATCAAAGTTATGGCCATCTGGCAAGTTTCATATATAGAACACTCTCCAGTCGAAATTCGTCGAATCGTGCAAGCGATTAGACAAACCATTACCAATCGACGTGACCGGTTCCCAGCCAACGATCATGTCCACCTTCTTGTGAACCAACATCAATTCAACGAATTCAAAGTTATCAAAAATATTGACGATATCATACGGCTCACAGTCATTGATTCCGATACATTGATTCTCGGTTCATCAATTCAATTGCCTGGCCCGCGCAGCGTTTGGTTAAGATATCTATCTTAGATAAGATATTAAGATGAGATAAGATAGATAGTATCTATTATCTTATCTAGATAATTTTTCAAAAATGTCGAAAATCTTATCTATTATCTTTTCAGTTTTTTTTTCGACTATCTATCTGTCGTTTTTTAGATAAAAATTAAGATATACATCAAGTAATTGTTTCAGAGATTTGATCGATACCAAATGATGATTCACACTACAGATTTGTCCTACTTGTTAAAAAAATATACACATCCCATTTATAGAAAAAAAATACACTTCAAAATCAGGGTAAATCACGTAAATCTTCCAACTGAAATTTTTTGTTGATTGGGATATTTTTCAAAAATTAAAGTTTTTTTGCTAGATTTCGTGCATTTTTCACAGAACAAAAAAAAATTGAAAAAAATTCATCAAATTGACATATGAATAAAGAATGATATATTTCTAAAAAGATTATCTTAAGATAGCTCAAAGATATCTATCTTTTTCGGAAAAAGATAAAAAAAAAAGATAAATTTAAAAAAGATATCTAGATAGATTTGAACATTTTTGAGATTATCTCGTTTTTATCTAGATATTTCTGCTGGGACAGAACCAAACGCTGGGCCCGCGTTCGCTGGAAGTGTAAATTTTACATTATTTTCAAGTACAACTACATTTTTGAGTGATTTTTCATGCTTATATTATCCAGAGAATTGATTTTTGTGAGAGCGTAGTCCGTGATAAACATCAATTTTATAAGTAAATTTTTTTTTTTCATTAAGGAACATTGTTGATGCGTTCAATTTGTCGCGTTCATGAGTGCGTCTAACGACGTAAAGAATTGAAATGAACTTCACTGAATGCGCTCATCGCAAATTCGTGTTTTACTTTGTTTTGTTAGTGTGGTGCAGGGGTTGTGTAAGCATGTCCATACGCATATGTTTGTATCACATGGGAAACAAATACGACACAAAATCATTGTATTTTTGTTCTCCACAATATTTTTGTATGTTTTTGTGCATTTTTGTGGAACAAAACTATTATTTTACGAGAAGAACTATTGACCTTGATGTGGCGGCGGTTACCCATGCGTGAAGGGATATTGTAATGGAGGTTAGGCCTTTCCAGACCAATTTTGCTTTGTAATGCGACCGTAAAACTTTTCTAGAGTAATAATTTACCAAATAAAACACAAAAATGGGCCCAGAGCGTATTTTTCTTGCTCAAAATCAGAAATTTTCTAGTAAATTCTCACATTATCAAGTCAATATATTTTTCTCATGTCAAACCAAACTTACGATGTGATAAGTGAGTTTAGAATATGGGAAATGATGGAAAGAATTCATTGCATTGTCCTAATAAAACAATTCAATCAATTCGATCGATAAGCACTACTCCAAGCGGTCGATAACCTGCCTGTAATACGTGCCGAAAATTTTAGTGCAATACGTGTTATTGTTGTTGTAATTGTATAGTTTGACTGCATGTTTCTGAAGAAGATGGCTTCTAGATATACATATTCATTGCTCCCAAGTAAGCAAAATATGGGACAAACGCACACAAATTTACTCATAATAGTCAGGAATTATCATAATTTTTTCCGATAATGTTTTTTATAGTCATATTATAGCGTATAATGGCGAAATTTATCCATTTTTCAGTGTTCCCTAAGATGTGGCTTTCAAACGCCCACTGAAAAATGTTAAAAACGACATCAAAAATAAACTATTTCTTCATTCTTGGGAAGAATAAATGAATGTTTAACCATTTTATATAGAAAAACCCAACATTTTATCATTATTTATCATTTTTCCTGGCTCTTTTATATAGAGTGTAAAATTTACACTGTAACGACAGATACGTGATTTTGTTGGAGCAGCGGACAAGGGTTAATAATTTAACTGACAGGATGTGGATAAAATAAAAGATCTCCGAAATGAATTTGGAATCGATTGGTTTTGTTGAACCGCAAGTGAATTTCTTAAATTTATCACTACTGATTTGTCACTTGTTTTCAGGTGGTAACTTCAGAACGGTTAATATCCCAAGAGAAACGGCCAATATGTTTATACGCTGTCTATCCGCCGAAAATACACTACAATATATGTTCACGCTTATTGGACGCCGAATTCAATATATATTCTGGTGTATTTTCGGCGTATTCTTCAGCGTGAAACATATTGAATCAATGAATGCATTCATGGCCATCAGAGGGCACCTGAATATGTTTCAATATGTTTCACGCTGAAGAATACGCCGAAAATACACTAGAATATATATTGAATTCGGCGTCCAATAAGCGTGAATATATATTGTAGTGTATTTTCGGCGGATAGACAGCGTATAAACATATTGGCCGTTTCTCTTGGGATTCTGTACCTACCTGGTGCATTCGACGATCGTCTTTTAGTTTCAAATTGAAACTTTCAATCGACTCGGCTTGTCCTTTCTAAGTGCCAATGACCACAAAAGATATCTTCACTGACGAAACGATTCCAATTGACCGTCAAAACATCCGAACCGACAGCATTCTTCAGTTGATATTCCTATCGCCAGATTAGTTGGCTGAGCATTTCGATTAAATTGAAAAATGGTTCACTTTTTATCGCATATTCGTGTTAACAACCTCAATTAAACTGGATTTGGAGTAAATTTTTGCAATTAAAAGTGTCGCTTGGTGGATGCATTTAACGTTAATGTATTATAGCGCTAACATCGCGCGTTCTATTCACAGAACAGAAGCTTCTTTCG